TTTTTTTTTTTTTTCTTTTTTTTTTTTTTTCTTTTCTTTTTCTCTTTGCGATAATCTTTGCTCCTTTCATTGCCTTTTCGCTTGAGACTTTTTTTTTTTTCTTTCTCACTCGAGCTTCCGTTTGTACATTACACGCTCCCAGTATTAGATGATACACGAACCATCATATCCTGCTAAGTTTTGTCATTTTATTGATTTTAAGTGCGTCTTCTTTTAAGTTCTAGTAATTAATCGTCTGCTTAAACGTAAATACAAAAAGATATACATAATGTAGATACATTTAACTGTTAAGGTATACTTTTAAACTATCGGCCAAGTACAGTGTACCATACTGTATTCGCTCATATCTCCTTTAATCACACAGCTGTAAAAGCTATACAAATGTCGTCAACCTACAAAGGTTTATAATACAGATTTTCAACGTTTTCAGGAAGAATGCGTTGATTTTTCTTCTTCTTGCGTCATTGAAATCGATAACTACACACGGTTTGTGATAAGTAGAAAATCGATGGACAAATGCACAGATTTCTTATGATAATTCTTTGGTTTATGATTTTCTAATTGTTTTACGCTACAGAATTAAGCATGACTGCGCTGAATTCAAACATTTTTTTCCCTATTTCAAGGAAATCATATCACCAATGATACTCGATGTTGGCACCTACGTCATGCATTTATATTTGCTAATTTTAATATAAATTATACGCTATATCATACCCGAAGTAGAAAAAAACACGAAGTATACAAATCGTCGGCACTTTAATAGTTTTCCTTGGTAGATGCAACGTGTACGCGGGGAACTAGTAAGAAATTAATCATTCGGGAAACTCAACAATCACAGGAATGTCCACACGAACGGAGGTCACAAAAGTTACCATTCAAATCGAAATGGAAAGCATAATTTCGTTTTGATGCACTCATTTCTATTTACATGTTCACTCGACACTTTGTTGTCTCGTCTTCATTCACTCTCGACAACTCGATATGCTTTTGGCAAGGCTTTCAGCGTCCAACGATTAATCGTCAATACACAGCCAATATTCCGAAAATTTGTCGTCTTAAAAGTTACATTACGTTAAAGGTGGAAACTAAAAGTCTTCTTATGCTATAGAAAGTCTTCTCTTGAGCAACACGTAGGCAGCGAACTTAAATATCACGTAATTGCAAAACAGTAGAAGAATATCGATCCAATACTTACCTTCCGTCATCGACATGTCATCCAGTAACGTAAAAGGCACGCTGTAGTGACAGTACATTTTCGAACAGGGCAGTTTTTCGCGATCGAAACCGTAGATCGCGATAATGAATGCGTGTAACGTGTACTTGAGATAGTTCAGATAACTAACGTAATATAGAATACGTGGCATATGGTTGAAAAAAGCAATGAATCCCGATAAAGTTAACATAGCAGACAATAGGATGGCGCCCAGAAATGTTCCATTTACGGGATTCATCGTGATGCCTATCAAAAGACCGAAACTTTCGGCTATGAGTGTAGTCATAATGGCTACTGTCAAGTACATAAGAAATCTGTTCATATCCATGGGTTGCCGACTCAGAAAATAAGAAGGAGAGCTGCAGATGAAGGCAAATAGTATTTGTAGGGGCACGTTGCATATAAAGGAAGCCACGTAATATGTCCTTAACTGATACCAATTGTTGAATCCTTCCTTCTTTAAGGTCGGTATTTCCGAGGGAAACTTGAGCACCGCAGGCATCATGCTTGTATAGCACAGATATACGGAAGTGATTACAAAAAGCCCAACGTTGCTGAGAGTTTTACTTCCATCCTGACCAGCATCGGTAAATAGCAAGCCTAGCAAGATTCCTGCCATGAAATGGAGAAGTATCTTTAAATGGACCATTGTCCAATCTCTGAGCAGTTGCACCATACAGTAATGCAATAATACGAAAAATCTCTGAAATTCTGACGGTGGTTGGATCAGCACGGTTGTCTTTGTTTCATTTGCATAATAGTGAGTTTGCTGTGACGTTTCCAACCGCCAAGATGTCTCATTTTTAGTGGCCAACTTCACCAGCTGATCATTGAAATTTCCATACTCGTTGCTCACCACTTCGATCATGTAATCAGCTGGATTGTGATATTTGGGACAGTGAAGTCCAACACTGGCGAAATAGGAAATCGTATTCTTCGTAGCTCCTTCGTACATACAACTGCCATCAGCTAACAGATACACATAGTCGAACATCTCGTATATAGCAGCACTAGGTTGATGGATCGTACATACGATGGTTCTACCAGACTTGGCCAGGTCGTGTAATAGTCTGATACACTGATTAGAAGACAAGGAATCCAGACCAGTCGTTGGTTCGTCGAAAAACATTACCGGAGGATTATCCAGCAACTCTAACGCGATACTCAGTCTTTTCTTCTGTCCTCCGCTCAGTCGATTGCATCTCGTCTGCTTCGTTTTGCTCAGGTCC